AAGCGAGTGCGTTTCAAAACTGTTAGCGTGTATTATTTTGCTCGGACACAAGGAATGTCCACAGTACCGAAAACTGGGGAAGTATCACTAGGTGAGGATGTTATGGGTCTTGCTCCTAACACCATGTATGTTATTGATTGTAGGAATGGTTGATAAGCACTTCACAAAACGTCAATTCCCTCTTTGGCTAGGCAGACGTCCAGAACTGACTCTACCGAAGGATTATGAGGTTTCTGAGCTCAAATTTTGTTTTTGCAAGCTCATTAATGCGTATTTGAGGAAGAGCTTTCGGAAGGTGAAGATCCTGGAGATATCTTTGATCCCGAAGGACTTGAGCGTTGTACCGCTCATCAATTGCCTATGTTTGAGGGCAAAACTCGTATCAAAATGCTGAAAAGATCTGGTGTTCAGGTGCAAAAGGTGAGCATTTGTCCTCTCTATCAATCTTCCATGCTTCCATACTTGTTCCGAGGAGCATTCCGATATGCATTACATTTTTTGTCAGGATGCTGTTGAAACTTTGGAATCTATCCGACAATCACGCATCATGTGCGGATGTCAGTGTGACGGGATCTGCATAGCGGACACATGTCAATGCGCTTTGGACGGAATTGGTTGTCAGGTATGATGTTCTACTCTTTTTCGTTTCTGAGTGATCTTTGATTTTGTAGGTGGATGGTCCAGATGAGTTTGGAAGATCACATCCGTGCTCTTGCACATCGGTGGGATGTTCAAACCCTTATGGAAGAATAGAGTTTGACCCTGAGCACGTCAAAAATCACTATCGAATAACGATGATGCGAATGCACCATGCTGAGCAGAAGGTGAGTGAAGTCAATTGCTTTTTTCCCAACTTATCTTGTTGCTTTCGTTGAAGTACAAGTGTTCTTTTCTTTGCGCAATTCCTATGTTAACAGGGTATCTACGATTCTCCTCAACGAATACGTTTCAACTCTGACGGAGAGCCTGAATCGGTTTCCCACTTCACACCTCCACCAATCAGAGTGAGTCATTATTTGTTCTGTTGTAAGTTGCCTAGGATTTAGTTTACTGCTCATTCCCTGGAACAAGCTAAGAGTTTGAATAGCAGATTGTTTGTTGATTCAGAGCCGGTGGCCACTAAGCAGTCTTGGGGCACATTTGGGTGTTGGCCTTTT